AGGGGGGGAGAGAGAGGGAGAGAGAGAGGAGAGAGAGAGAGAGAGGGTTGCTGAACGCGTCACAACGCACACAGACGCGCCCGGCACGGCACCGCAGGGCCGGTCAAACGGTTCCTCGCGCCAACATTTCTAGCCAGCAACAACAACAAAAGACAACGGGGTGCTCGGACGCCCCCCGGCGGCGCCAGGCAGCCAGGCAGGCAGGCAGCGGACCGGTCAGGTCTTGGCCTGCTTGGCAGCGCTTGGCAGTGCCTCAGTCCGGCCGGCCCGGCCGCCCTTGGTCGCGCCATAAGCAGCCTGTTTGTTTTGGTCATTCCCCCACGGTAATGAAGCCACTGAGTTACGCCCCCGCGTCGCGTCGCGTCGCGTCACCGCGGTCTCGCCGTGGTCACACGCTTGGCAGCGCTTCGGGGCCCGCCCCTGGCCCGCCCAGCGGTCGGCCGGCCGAGCGGGAAAAAAGGGGTGACTTAAAGCAGCTTAGCCTCGACAGTCTGGACGCGCTGAGCCACGCTGTGCCACGCTGTGCGGGCATCGCACCTTTGCCGCTGTCGTGGATGTTGTTGATGGTGGTGGTGTTGGTGGTGTTGGGGGCGGCCAGCGCCAGCGCCGCCACGCTCACGACGCAGGCGACCAGCGGCAGCGGCGACCACGGCATGGCTGCCACCGGTTGAGTCGTCGTATCCAAAAATCCAGGAGGCACTTCACTCGTCAATTTTCACTTCACAACGCGGGCAGCGCAACACCGCGCGGCTACTGCCGCAAACTTATCGCCGACGCGACGAAAAAAAAAAATTAAAAATAAATGGCGGTTGGCTGGGTGAGCTGCGGGTGGCGTGCACTACAGCATGGTGGCCAGCCTGGTGGCCGTCAGGGCCTGCCCGCCCTGCCCGGTGGGGAAACACTCGTCCTGAACGCTCGTCTAGGTTAGGGTTGGCGCGGACGCGGCGTGGGCGCGAAGCTTGCGTCGAGTCTCTCCCGCGCGCTCGGCACGACTGCCAGCTTGCCTGGCTGCCTGGCCTGGCCTGCGCGCGCGCCAAGCCAGCGAGCGCGGGGCGCGGGCTGAGACGGGCCGACCCACCCCCCGCGCCGCGCCGCGCCCGCCCGCCCCGCCCGCCCCGCCCCGCCCCGCCCCGGGCTTCCCCCACCCCGACCGCGCCGCCTTGCGCCTCCCCCCCCCTCCCCCCCCCCCCCCCCCTCCCCACCCAGCCGGCCACAGCGCCCGGCGCTAGCGCTAGCCGCCTCCCCCTCCTTCAACACCTCCGCGATGCTGCGATGCTGCGATGCTGGTGGAGCCGGTGATGCTGGCCCGGCATCTCGCGACGTGCACTGCAGACTGATTCCCTCTGTCTCTCTCGCACCTGTATGCGGCGCCCCGTGAGTGCGAGAGAGACGCGGCAAGAGAGCAGTATTGGCTCAAAGTTGATCAAAACGGTCAAAAATGCCTTTGAAAAATCGTGTTTTGGGCCGACTTTAAGCAGCCACAGCGTCTGATCCGAGGCGGTATATCGTCCTCCCTCAACGGGCAATTAATCTTTGGACCTTCCTTTAGCATGCCTTTGTTACGGAGTGCGATTATCCGCCTTGGTTTGGGAGCAGTATTGTCTCAAAGTTGATCAAAACGGCCTAAAATACCTTTGAAAAATGCTTTTTGACCGTTTTGATCAACTTTGCGGCAATACTGCTCCCAAACTAAGGCGGATAATCGCACTCCGTAACAAAGGCATGCAAAAGGAAAGTCCAAAGACCAATTGCCCGTTGAGGGAGTAGGACATACCGCCTCGGATCGGACGCAGTGTCTGCTTAAAGTCGGCCCAAAACACGATTTTTCAAAGGCATTTTTGACCGTTTTGATCAACTTTGAGCCAACACTGCTCCCAAACTAAGGCGGATAATCGCACTCCGGAACAAAGGCGTGCTAAAGGAAGGTCCAAAGACCAAATGCCTGTTGAGAAAGTACGAAGGCCCGCCTCGGATCGGACGCAGTGGCTGCTTAAAATCGGCCCCAAACACGACTTTTTAGGCAGTTCCCGCGAATTTATGTTCCCGGCAGTGCTCCTTTGGACCACTTTTGGCGGTGTGGTTAATTTTGTTTGATTTTCTCAGTAATATAATTTGGCAGTTACGACCAAAAGAGCTCCTCACAAACCTAGTACTGAAAAAACTAAAATGTTAAGTATAATCGATTTGAGTTACTTTATTTTTTGCAGTGTTGCCCCGTGCTGCGCGGTGCTGCGTCACAGGCCACGAGAAAAGAGTGCTGTCTTTGCAGAACCTGAGCGGGCCGGGCCTTGCCGGGCCGGGCGGCAGGGAAGGCCCAGCACGCCACGCCGCGCCACGGGCCCTCCTAGGACCGCTAAATTTGCTGAGGTATATAATAATCCGAAACAAAGGAGCGTCGCGGCCCCACAGCCCCACCCCCTGCCGCTACTTTTACCTTTTTGCTCCTCTTATTTTTCATTTTTTTTGCACTTTCCCTTTTCGAGTGTAGCGCCACGGCCGCGCGCTGCAGGCAGTCAGCCCCTCGCGGGGTCACTGTTAAATCGACTCTTGACCCGGAGGCCTGGCCCTGGCGGCCTGCGGGCCACGGTCGGTGCTCGCTGCTTTGATGTCGTCACTATTTATCTGGCCCAGGGGTGCCGGGGGCGTCGCGGAGCGTCGCGGGGAAGGGGGTGGGGGTGGGTCGGTCGCACTCATCGGCACCGCTCTAGAGTTGCCACCTCGTCTGCTTCGACTCGGAGTGAGTTGGCAACCGCTACCGGATCGACCGTCTGTCTGTTCTTTTCTGCAGCCACGCGAAAAGCTCGCAAGGTAAAGCGCAGAGCGAGGCAGAATCGGTGCATGCTCTCGCGCGAAATGAAGCCTTTGCTCTTCGACTGTTTGGCGACCGGAAACGAATTTTAAAAGTGCCCGAAATGGAGACTCGGTGACAGAACAACGTCAGGCTCGCCCACCTTCGGCGAAGGTGCGGAGCGGCGGCGGGGGAAAAAAATAATTGCTGAGGGAAGAAGGCAACAAAGATAAACCAGAGGGGAATTGGCTATGAATCACGGCGCTGCAAAATTTATGTGTCTCGGCGAGGGGTGCATCGCTCTCCTGCAGATAGAAATAATGACGCCAAAGCGTACAGTGGCGTGGCGGGACGATTCCGACCACCTGGCGAGCAAGGTGTCGTAACTCTCTCAAATTGGAAGAGAAACAGGTCAAGTGGCTCCGGCCCGCCTTTTTTCTCAGCATCCCGCCCTTTTTTCGGCCAATAGAGTAATCTGTGGAAACTTTGGGCGAATATTAAAAGTTGGCCTTATCCGACGGGTAAGGTCCGTAAACTCGAAAACATCGTTAAAAGCCACTCGCCCGCCATGCACTCAGTCTGCAGACGCATTCCGAGAGTCGTTTTCGTCGCTCTCGCTCGCCATGGGGCGCCATGGGGCAGCACCGAGCCGATACAGAGGGCTGCGTTGTTGTTGTTGTTGTTGTTTGTTGTTGTTGTTTGTTGTTGTTGTTGTTTGTTGTTGTTGTTGCAAGCCTGTCTGGTGGGTGCGACCCTTTTCGCCCAACCGCGTGTAAGAATGGCAGACGACGCCCAATTTTGTCGACGCTCGCTCAAACCTGCCCCATTTGACGTATCGGCGACGTGACGATTCCAGAACGCACTGTGCAGGCCACGCGGCGGAGAGACAGGGAGAGAAGGGGAGGGAAAGTGAGTGAGAGGGGGAGGGGGAGAGGGCGGAGCAGAGGGGAGTGATAGGGTATTGGAAGAAGCGACACGGAAATGAAATTGCTGCACCTCGTAGGGAGGATCTGGATCCATTGTGTTACTTGTCCGTTAGGGCACAGGAAGAGACAGTGTGTGTGTGTTTGTGGGTGGGTGGGGGTGGGGGGATGTAATATCGCCGGTCTCGACTTTACCGCAAGCCACACGGAGAAACACAGATACACACATGTTGTGGGGCCGACCGCCCCGCCCCGCCCCGCCCCGCCCCGCCTCGGCCTTCCAGACACATCCACCTGTCTCGCTGGCAGCGGCTCCCCTGGAGGAGCAAGGAGCTCTCCGTCCTTGTCACACTCACGCGACGGGGCGGTTCGGCCGGGCTTCGGGTTCGAATCCCCGCCCGGCTCAAATTTGATCCGAGGCCGGGCCGCTGCACTGCTAATCTCCACGTCGACATTGTTAAATTTAATGAGCGCTTGCAGTGCTGCAGGGCCGTGGCGCTGGGCCTGGCGGGCTGCGAGGGGTGACTGGGTGCCCGGGGTGGCGGTCTGGTCTGGTCTGGTTACATCGCTGCACCGCCCGGCACCGCCCCTCTTCAAACATGGCCCCGCGTCAACCCTTCTACGAGTCGAACTGGGGCGGCTCCTCTCCCTCTCTCTCTCTCTCTCTCTCTCTCTCCTCTCTCTCTCTCTCCTCTCTCTCTCTCCTCCTCTCTCTCTCTCTCTCTCTCTCTCTCTCTCTCTCTCTCTCTGGCCGAGGCTCAGACATGGACTGCGACCTCCTTTGGGCATTTAGGGCCAGCCCCGGGCAGCCCCCTCCCCTCCCTCGCCGCTAAGCGGCTTCCCCGCTGGAGCACGCTGGAGCACGCTGGAGGCAGACTGATTCCGAGGAGTCATCTCGTCGCTCCGTCCCCGTCGCACTCGCGGGGCGGGCGGGGCGTTCCGTGGGGGTGCGAGAGAGACAGCACGCCTCGGAACATCGGCACGTGTGGGGAGGCTCGCGCGCTCGCGCCAAGGGGTGCAGCCAGATAAGCGTAACTATCATTGCCTCCTTCCAGGGGCCTTCCAGGAGGCCTTCCAGGGCGGCTGTCCGTGACGTCTGCTGGCAGTGCTGGCAGTGCTGGCGCCGCACAGTGGGCCAGAAGACGCCGGTGGAAGCGGTCGAAATCCCGAACGCGTTTTGAGCTCCAGAGTCGCTAAATGGGACTCGAACCGAGCGTGTGACCCCACCAGTGGATTGGTCTTCGAACGAGGAGTCTATAGATGGAGTCACACGCAGGGTTCGAGTCGTACTTTCCGACCGCAGGAAATTCTCGTTTCAATTTCACTAATGGTCTACAAAAAGAATGGGTGACAGTCCAGGACTTGAACCCCGGTCCCCCGGGTGGCGGTCGAGGCCTCAGCCCCCTCGGCCACGCCGCACGGCGTCTCATAACGCAGCGGCCCTCCTCGTCCGTGCCCCCCACGGGGCCACCCCAAATTTGGCAGCCGAAATGGCGACGGGAAAAATAAATCTCTGGTTGTTGCCGTTTGAATGGACGCGCCTGCCTGCCTGCCTGCCTGCCTGCCTGCCTGCCTGCGCGCCTCAAGATTTATCCCGTCCGTTTCCGGCAGCACTTCTTGACAACCGCATGAGAGGGCGCCACCGTCGCGCCAAACATATGATTGCGCGCCATAAACATGGCAATCTGCGATAAGGGTGGCAGTAAACCGCCCGACTGTCTGCCTGTCTGTCCGTCTGTCTGTCTGTCTGTCTGTCTGTCTGACTGTCCCCAACCATGCAAGCCAAAAATATCGCGTCAAGTTGTTAGTTCACAACCCCAAAATCGACTTGAAGACCTGACGGTGTTGCCAACTAGACGAGACGGTGCGATTCAAGCAGATGCCGCCAGTGGCGTGCCTGATGACTCAACGTGTTGCTCTCTCTCTCTCTCTCTCTCTCTCTCTCTCTCTCTCTCTCTCTCTCTCTCTCTGTCCTTATCGAAACAAGCAATGCGGCAAGTCATTCGCGCGAAATTAACGCGCCTTTCTTCGCGCTTTCTCGCTCTCTCTCTTTTTCTCTCTCGCGCTCTCTCTCTTCTTTTGAATCCAACTTTGCCGTAATAATTAGAGTCCAACTAATTTCGCCTGACTTACGAGTTTTGTTCCGCTTCACTTCTGAGCGCGTTGTGTGCCAGTGCCGTTTTCCCGCCCTCGCCTTCAGCGGGGCGCCATTTTTATTCGTTTGTTTTCGTCTTATTTTGCCGGTCGCTGCGACGAGGGCACCAACAATTTTGTAATTGAGTTACCCCTCCGAGGT